AACTCAACCTAACCTAACTCAACCTAACCTAACTCAACCTAACCTAACTTAACCTAACTCAACCTAACCTAACTCAACCTAACATAACCTAACGATATATTCAAAGTGACAGGGTCGTTGGATAACATAATAAAAGGCATTTGTCCCTTGACGTGACACAAACAATGGCAGGCAAAACACGGGTGCAATATGTCAACTTGGCGGGTGGGGAGGGCAGGGGGAGGGGGAAGGTCATGGTAATGTTTACAAACACACGCGCGCCCCCCTGTGGCCCTCCTCACAACTAACCTACCGATGCTCTATTGTTCGTGATCGTCCCTCTGGCATCATTACCAGTTGACCAGACCCTATTTTTTGGCGGGTGGGTGGACAGTGGGGTGGGTGGGTAAGGTTTGGGGGAGGGGTGGGGGACTCATTTGACACCTCCCCCTACCCCTCCTCCTACCCCTCCCTCTCCCCCCTCTCCTCCTCAGTGTTGGTGATTCAATTATTATCGTCGTGACGTACTGTACTGTATGCTGGCTGGACCTCTATTGATTTATTGGTCCGAGTTGGCTAGCTATTTTGACTAGTGTGGGTCTCTCTCTCTCTCTCTCTCTCTCTCTCTCTCTCTCTCTCTCTCTCTCTCTCTCTCTCTCTCTCTCTCTCTCTCATAACATTTTCTCATTTATTGTTATGAGGTAAAATAATTTATAAATATTTGATAATTGGACGACTGTTGTTTTGAGGCAATTATTATTTTTTATTGAGAATTTATTACTGTTGGATTTATTTATTTATCTGCTTTTTTAAGATTAATTTATTTGATAATTTATTTATACATTATGTTTTATTCATATATTATCTTGATATTAATTTAAGGTTAATTTATTTTTTATAATTTTGTTAATATTTATTCGTATTTTTTTTTAATTATCATGAGGATTTATTCTACTGGTGTATTAAATTTTACCTATTGACTTACCTGCGTGTGGATGGACTTACCTGTGTGTGGATGGACTTACCTGTGTGTGGATGGACTTACCAGTGTGTGGATGGACTTACCTGTGTGTGGATGGACTTACCTGTGTGTGGATGGACTTACCTGTGTGTGGATGGACTTACCTGCGTGTGGATGGACTTACCTGTGTGTGGATGGACTTACCTGTGTGTGGATGGACTTACCTGTGTGTGGATGGACTTACCTGTGTGTGGATGGACTTACCTGTGTGTGGATGGACTTACCTGTGTGTGGATGGACTTACCTGTGTGTGGATGGACTTACCTGTGTGTGGATGGACTTACCTGTGTGTGGATGGACTTACCTGTGTATAGTATTGTCTTGAATTGTTTTGATTTTTCGTTGAATTTGTTTCCCCTTGAGTTGATTTCCCATTTAATTCATTGTATTTATTATATGTTATTTTTTTCTTCATTCTTATCACTTTCATCAATTTATTTATTCATCGTGTTTATTATCCATTGGTCCTTTATTGATTTATTCTCTTATTATTTTTCTTTATAACTGAAATTTACTCATTATTTTCATTATTTCATATTATTTAAATAATTATAAAACCTATAAAAAATAAAGATCAAATAATAATGTTGGTGATTAAGACAAATTTACACGTTATTTTTTTTTTCATTTATTTTACACAAACATTTACAAAATTTACAAGATATTTACTGTACATTGTTACGTGACTTGTTGAACACTGGTGGGGGTGAGGAGGGGGGAGGGGGGGTGAGAGGAAGGAGAAGAGTGAGGGGAGGAGGGGGAGAAGAGGTGTGAGATAATGAGGTGGTGGAGGAGAAGAGGGGGAGGAGGAGGAGAAGAAGAAGAGAGAGAAGACGAAGAGAGGGAGGAAAGAGGGTGATAAATAGAGAAATGAAGAAGGGGAATAGTGGATGAAAGAAGAGAGAGGAGAAAATAAAAAGAGGGAGGAAGAGGTAAAAGGAGGTGGTGATAGAAAGAAAGAAGATAGAAGGAAGTGATGAAGGAAGGAAAGAAGGAAAGAACAAGAGATAATAAAGAGAAGAGAGAGAGATAGAGAGATACACACACATAACAGTAGTGTACCCGCACCACATAAAAGAGTCTCCCAGTCACGTTTTATTACTGTCAACAAATATGTAATAAAATTGCGAGTATAAATGGCTCGTTGGCAACAGTGATTAATTAGGCTTCACTTAATACTAGTTAACAAGCACAAGCATCAAGAACAGAAAACGAGATGCTGGGGTAAAATGACGTCATGAGGGCCATTAATCAACCAATCAGGGAGGAAGAGCAAAGCCTGGTTTATGATGTCTTGACACCCCCCCCCCCCTTGGAACTAGCCAATCAACGTTAGAAAAATATCTGCTATTATTGACGTCACATTAGCGTCAATACACACACACACACGCGCACACACACACACACACACACACACACACACGTATAGTTGTGATGTGATGATTGTGTGTATGTGTATGACTTCCTGTATGTGTATGACTGTTGTATGTGTATGACTGGGTATGTGTATATGACTGTATAATAATGTATGACTATTTGTATGTGTATGACTATTTGTATGTGTATGACTGTTGTGATGTGATGATTGTGTGTATGTGTATGACTGTGTATGTGTATGACTGTTGTATGTGTATGACTGTTGTATGTGTATGACTGTTGTATGTGTATGATTAGTGCACATGTCTGAAGTGTATGGTGTATATATATCTGAAATGTATATATGACTGATGTATAGTGTATGTGTAATATAATAGACTAACTGAAGTGTATGATGTATGGTAGGTGTATAGTGTTTTAATGACATATAAGGTGTGACTTGGTGTATGTCTTATGTATGACTGGTACTGTATGTATATTGATAAACAACCATTATGTATATCAGTGAATCCAGTGTATGCATATATGGTGTATAATGTGTGTATACATGAATTGTATAAAAGTGTACATGTACGGTGTGTGAGTATACGTGTAAGGTGTGTGTGTGTGTGTGTATATCTATGGTGTTATAATGTGTGTATAGATGTATGGTGATGTATGGTGAATGTATAATATGTCCCACGGTAACATACACTAGCACGTTATAAGCTAAAGCCCTTCAATACCTAACCTAACCTATCCACACAATGTCACCATCAATAAAACACTATGTATAAAGATATTCCTTCGTTTAGATAGTGAGATAATACCCTCACTATCTTACTATCTCTCTTATCTCTCTTCTAAGTCTACAGTATAAAAGGTAAGTAGTAAGTAATATTGCAGCGAGTTAACTAATACTAAAAAAAAATTAATGATAAAAATAGTGTGAAAATTGCCGAGAGTGTTTGTTGTTGTGAGTGACGTATTGGTGACGTCACGGGTCGCTTATGATCTGATCGTATTTACTAAGTTGCAACTCATTGGAGAAAGGGTTGCCAATAATTTGTTTTTTTTTTTAGGTTTTCTTGTATATGTGGTTATTATTTTGTATAAACTTTAATTATAAGTTGATATTTGTAAAAGTAAAGTTATGTTTTATAGTGAATTAATCATATTTTTAATTCGTAAGCGTCGTTCACAAATACACGAAATTTTCCCGCGTTCGTTGATGCTATAAAAATATCCACCTAAGACTTAGCTTAGTAGAAAATATAGAGTTGTATTATTCACTCTAGGAGGAATTATTTGTTCCAGCTATGTGAATCAAAATATTGCCGCCAGCTATCTATGCCTCGTAACTCACAGCTGATCAACATAAACAAGAATCACACAACATGGCGGCAGGTTTAGGTCACTCACAAATATATCTTGAATATCCTCTTTTAGATGTAATTTGTATTAATTATATTTTCAAAGCTTTAATAGATGCTTATTAATGACGTCATAACCACAGGATCCAATGAGTGGATGTGGAAGAGTGACGTCACAATCGTATAATCTAATGAGTGGGTGTTAATTATTGACGTCACAACTGCATAATGCAATGGGTGGTTGTGGATTATTGACGTCACAACTACACAATCCAATGCGTGAATGTGGCTTGGTGACATCATAACCAAATTGACCAATAGAATGAGTGCAATAGGTGTTCCAAAGACCTACAATATATCCACCAATCAGAAATAAGTAAAGCAATATAAACACACAGCCAACCAATCACGACTGCTGTTAAGGAGGAACATTTAAATCATTAGTAGTATTAGTATTAAAGTATAAAAGCTCTGTATATTGATTGAAATTAAATATAACACCAAAAATACAAAAAAAAATATCACTATAAAACGCCATTAAAATCCGGCAATTCTTTTTGGATGACCCTGTATATGTATAAGCCGGATAAGGAAGGAAACCCTGTATATGTATAAGCCGGATAAGGAAGGAAACCCTGTATATGTATATGTATAAGCTGGATAAGGAAGGAAACCCTGTATATGTATATGTATAAGCCGGATAAGGAAGGAAACCCTGTATATGTATAAGCCGGATAAGGAAGGAAACCCTGTATATGTATATGTATAAGCTGGATAAGGAAGGAAACCCTGTATATGTATATGTATAAGCTGGATAAGGAAGGAAACCCTGTATATATATAACGTGAACAAAGACTAAAATAATACAAATATGACTTAATCCTATAAAACTCGTTAATAAAGAAATCTGTAAGAAAAACAAAACTAGTATAATTGCGAGGAACAAATGACCAAGATCACATTATAGAGATATATATATAGTAAACAAGTGAGGGGTTACCTGCGTGTCATTAGTGTTTTTACCTGTAGTTCACACCTTTGTTTATTCCACCTGATGATTAAACAACGTAATGCTATATACCTTGTGGGGGTGGCGGGTTGTTAGGGTGGGTTTGGTTAGGTTAGGTTAGAATTAGGTTTGGTTAGGTTAGGTTAGAATTAGGTTTGGTTTGGTTAGGTTAGAATTAGGTTAGGTTTGGTTAGAATTAGATTTGGTGAAGGTAGGTTAGGTTAGGTTGGGTTAGCATTTAGTTAGATTATATTTAAGTTAGGTTAGGTTAAGTTATATTGTTAGGTTACTGTTAGGTTAAGTTAAATTGGGTCATATTACGATGGTTAATCTGCAGGTGAAATAAGCTGGGGGCTAATCTTTAGGTAATCCCAAACGTCATGTCATGTCTCTTAACATGTTGTGACACCTGTTTACTATGACACAACCACCACTACTTGTTTACAGTGGTTACCATGACAACCACCGTTACTTGTTTACAGTGGTTACCATGACAACCACCACTACTTGTTTACAGTGGTTGCCATGACAACCATCGTTACTTGTTTACAGTGGTTACCATGACAACCACCGTTACTTGTTTACAGTGGTTACCATGACAACCACCGTTACTTGTTTACAGTGGTTACCATGACAACCACCGTTACTTGTTTACAGTGGTTACCATGACAACCATTCATATCACATTTTTTACAGTTCACACAACCAATGGGGTAGTTATATTTCTTGTTTACAACCATTTTCTGTATGTTAGCACAATGAATTATTTTCTGTAGTTAAGGCAAACAACCAGTACAGTAATTATCTGAAATTGCCCATCACAAACACCCATCTGGACTGATATTATTATTATTATTATTATTATTATTATTATTATTATTATCACTATTATTTGGATTTTCTTTAAGTATTCTGTTATCACACCTTATCAAGATTATCTTATTATTCTCTTTCGTTAAAACCTCGTTCGTTAATTCTCTTCTATGTTGATGCATTTAACTACCATAGCACCTCGTTAGTAGTTGTTGATGGCGTCACTATTAAATTCTGGCTCATTAAGGCCGCCTATTGGTGTTCTGAAGCTGTGACGTAGCCTGGATGGTGTAATGTGATTGGTGTATCATCCTTGTGACGTAGCCTGGATGGTGTAATGTGATTGGTGTATCATCCTTGTGACGTAACCTGGATGGTGTAATGTGATTGGTGTATCATCCTTGTGACGTAACCTGGATGGTGTAATGTGATTGGTGTATCATCCTTGTGACATAGCTATGATGGTGTGATGTTTGTGACATAGGCCAATAAGCCAGGATGGTGGGATGTGATTGGTGTTCTATTTCTGACATAACTAATGTATAATTGGTCTTCAACTGCTGTGACGTCTCCGAAATAGTTAGAACATGATTGGTGTTCCGACCTTGTGACGTAGACAAGATAGCAAGATATAATTGGTGCTCCCGCTTGTGACGTATTCAGAACGGCGTGATCTGATAGGCGTTTCGTGACTATGACGTGTACTGTTAACCCGAATTGATTGTTACTTAATAATTTCACTTGGTATCAGTTATTTCCAGCTGGTTTTGAGGTTGCAGGTGGTTTCTAATGAGCCCAGGTGGTGTCAAATCATCACAGGTGGTAACTGATCGATGCCAGATGGTGTCAGATCATCGCAGGTGGCATTCAGAGGCTTCAGGTGGTTTTTAGTGATGCCAGGTGGTGTGGGGAGACAACAGCTGGTGCAGGGAGGGTTGCTGTTCTCACTTAGCGGTGGAGGATGTGGCGAAAGGCTGTGGGGGAGAGAGACAAGAATGATGGTGATTAATGATGATGATGATGATGATGATGATGATGATGATGATGATGGTAATGATGATGATTATTATTATTATTTTGATGAAGAATAAGAAATGAAAAGAAGATGGTGGAAAGGAAAAACAAGAAGAAGAAAAGACGAAAATAACAAAAAGGAAAAAATAAGAAGAATAGGAAGAAAAAGAAGAAGAAATAAGAGAAGAAGATCACGAGGAAGGAGATGGTAAATTGAAGGAAAAATAATAATGACTTACTCTCCAAATGGTATTATCATAATGTCTTATCTCCGCTATCGATCATCCTCTCTCTCTCTCTTTCTCTCTCTCTCTCTCTCCTTCCTTCTCTTCCTCCATTTCTTCCTCTTTTTCCTTCCTTCACCTTCTTTCACTCTCTCTTCTTTCTTTCCTCCTTCCCTCTTTCTCCTTCCCTCCCTCTCCTCCACCCCCTCACCCCCTCTCCCCTCCCTCTCCCCCCCTCTCACTCTCTTTGCTTCCCTACCTCACACTCTACCTTGAAGGGTCTCTGCTTGTCCTCGAACTCCCTCAACCTGGCCTTGTACTTCTCCAACTCGTCTCTCAAGATGGTGTCCTCGATACGGGCGGTGTCCTCGTCGTACTCGAGACATCCCACTCCATCCAGTCTCTCGAGGTCGACGTAACCCTTGAACCTCACGCATACTCCGTTCATGATGAAGGGTGACTTGAGGTGTACCTGAGGATGAGATAGAGAGTTAGGTTAGGTTGGAGGAGGAGGTTGTGTGGAGGGTGGGTGGAGGAGGAGGGTGAGAAGAGGGGAGGGTGGAGGAGGAGGGTGAGAAGAGGGGAGGTGGGTGGAGGAGGAGGGTGAGAAGAGGGGAGGTGGGTGGAGGAGGAAGTTGAGAAGAGGGGAGGGTGGAGGAGGAGGTGGGGGTGACAGATTAGGGTAGGTTAGGTTAGGTTAGGTTAGGGATGTTTGTAAGTGAGTTTTAAGTGTGGGAACATATTTGAACTACTTTTTAACCTAATTCAGAAACATTTATAAGTGAAGTAACTACGTATGTGTTTATGTAAGTTGTAAGTAATGAAACGCTATTTAAGTGACCTATTTTACCAGAGTTAAATATTTATGTAAGTAAATTGTAAGTTTAAGAATGTTTTTAAATAGGTTATAAATGTTTGTAAGTGAGTTTTAAGTGTCGAAATATATTTAGTTAAGTTAAAATAACAATTGAAATCGTAGTTAAAGAATCGAACCCTTTTAAGTGTGGATTCTCACTCATTTGTTCGCAGTAGAAAGATCGAACCCTTGTACTTAAAGAATCACGTATTGTAGAGTGGCCCAATTGTCTCACAGTCACAGATGAACCATTAAACTCGTTGTGTCGATGCAGTGGATAATGAACCCCTTGATTGGTCGTGCTCAGGGTGTGTAGTTTTAGTGTGTAGTGTTGGTGTGTCGTGTTGGTGAGTCGTGTTGGTGAGTAGTGTTGGTGAGTCGTGTTGGTGAGTCGTGTTGGTGAGTCGTGTTGGTGAGTCGTGTTGGTGAGTCGTGTCGGTGAGTCGTGTCGATGGTGTATAATGACCCCTTGATTGGTCGTGCTCCAGGGTGTGTAGTGTTAGTGAGTCGTGTCGATGAGTCGTGTCGGTGAGTCGTGTCGTGTTCGTGAGTCGTGTCGAAGAGTCGTGTCGATGAGTCGTGTTGGTGAGTCGTGTCGTGTTGGTGTGTCGTGTCGGTGAGTCGTGTTGGTGAGTCGTGTCGATGAGTCGTGTCGTGTTGGTGTGTCGTAGCTTCGAGTCTTTTGGAAATGTATTCCCAGTAAGACTGTTACTGACAGTTTGAGACGTTGAGATTTAAATTCAAATTGAATGACTCCGATCACACTTTGAGCTTAACTTACTCAGAGAGGTGGGTAGCCATTTCGGAACCTCCTCCTCCACCTCCTCTTCTTCTTGTTCTTCTTCCTCCTCCATCCTCACCCTCATCTCCCTTACATCTTTACCCCCCTCCACTCCTCCTCCTCCTCCTCCCCTTCACTACTATTGTCCCCTCCTTCATCTGTTTTATCCCCTCTTTTCCCCTCGTCTCGTCCCCTCCTCTTTCTCCTCTTCACAAGATATGTCCTCTTTAATCTTCGCCAGTGATCCAGGAGTCAGGTGTTCGATGCTTCTCTCTCGTCCCTGACTTCGGCTTCGTGTGGTCAGGATGGAGGGGTGGGGTAAGGAGGGGGGTAAGGATGGAGGAGGAGGGGTTGAAGATAAGGGTGGAGGTTGAGTGGAGGGGTAAGGAGGATGAAGGGGGGTAGGGGAGTAGATGAGAGGAGGGTGTGGAGGGAAGAAAGGTGAAGGTGGAGGAAAAGGAGGTTGTGTGGAGGGGTGAGGGTGAAGAGGTGAGGGTGAAGGAGGAGTGAGGGTGAAGGAGGGAGGGATTGTAGAGGGGTGAGCGTGGAGAAGGAGAAGGGGGAGGGGTAGTCTTAAGCCAGGGTCGGGGGTAGTCAGGTACAGGGGTCGGAACACAGCCTCAACTCCAGTATTGATTTGAAAGTTGGCGCGCGCATTGGTCTACCCCCCTCCCCTCCCCTCCTCCCCCCTACCCCTCCCCCTCCCTCCCCCTCCCACCTTTTTTTACTCTAACACAGCCTTAAACAGCGACCTTTACTCTAGTCCTACTCTGTCTCTTCCTTTTACTCATTATCCTAAAATAAAATACAAAATACAACAAATATTAAAGAATAAAAGAATAATTGTTAGGTTTATCTGAAAGACAAAATGGCGGACATCTCTAAATAATTTTTTTGTCGATTGTTTTGAACTGAAATAATAAATGTACAGAATGTCTTACGATTTTATGACTAAATTTATCTCAGGTTTTTTTTTTGTGTTAATATAAAAATAGAGTTTGTTGAGGTTATATACTGTTGATAGTGTATTGTATAGTTAAGGTATATAAGAATTATTACATATTAGGTGTGTGTGTGTGTGTGTGTGTTGGTGTCCTGTAAGTATTGAGTTTAAGGGAGAGATGCATAATAATGAGATGTAGAAAGAGAGAGAGAGAGAGAGAGAGAGAGAGAGAGAGAGAGAGAGGAAGAGTAATAACAGAGGGATGAATGAGAGAGAGAGACAAACAGAGAGACAGAGAGACAGTAGTTTCCTCTCCCCTCACACTCTCCCCCCTCCCCTTGACGTCATCACT